TCAATTTTTCTGTCAACCCATGGACCTGTCAAGTCAGTACAGCAATGCAGCTGTGTGTGGTTGTGTGTGGTCATTATGATGGATGTCCAGAGATCCAAACAAAGAAAAACGTGATGGCCTTCAGACTGATCTCACTCTGTAGACAGTCTATGGCAGTTTACTGTGGAAGAGCATGAAGATACTAGTTATTTATTAAGCTGCTTGAAAGGTAGGCGCATTTTAAAGGGAATTATGCATAGTCTAATGAATTTATTGGGTAGTTCTGTAATCCAAACACTTTCAACTTTGGTATTCTAGCTGTCTGTGATTTGAAAAAAACAAAGATCCAGTGAAGGACCTGGGTGCCCAGCCCTGGGAACAGAACTGAAAACATGGAGCAAAGGACCCAGGTCTACATGGAATCTCAGGTGATCAGTGTAGGCTTGCAGTGAGATTGTTTAGATCGTCCTGATCTCTGGCATATTAGTGTTAGACTATATTTAGTAAATGAGCTATCTCATTTGCAAGCAACTTTACACACTTCTGTCCACATATACTTATGCAAATGGATATAGGATGAGCATCAGTTGTTTCTGTGAACTTTCTGCCACTGCCCCCCACACACGCAGAGCTGCCTCATTCTTCACCAAGAATAAGGCTGGTGCAGCTACTGACTCCCACCATGAATCTTCTTAGATTACTTTTCTACAGAATAATTAAGACAGAGAAGGAGAGAAAAAAAAAAGCAATGCAGTTTGGAGGTGCTGCCAGCTCAGCAGAGAAACTGCTGTGGGAGTGCTGTGCACAGAGCACATGAAGGAAAAGGTAGGGGAACAGACTCCCACAAGGAAAAGACTGAGAAATTACTTATTTTGTAGGCACTTCTTCTAGACAGTAGATATTTCTTCAAATGCAGAGGACCAGAGTGGAAAAGATAGAGGCAATAGGTAAAATGAAGGAGAGGAGATTAGCAGAGTTCCAGCATCATAACTAAATTATTTTCCTTGAAAAATTAGTGCTAAGAAATCATCTGTTTTCTACATAATGCATTTTACTCCTTCCTCTGTGGGACAGATCTGATTGCAGGCAGAATAAGACAGACCATTTCCTCTAATTTTGAAAGTTTTAAGAAAATCTTAAAGAAATCAGATTTGAAATAATAAGTGTGAGAACTTGATACCATTTTATCAATACTCAGATTTCTCTGGATACCAATGCAAAAGAGAAAAGCCATTCCTTCACGACTGTTTACAGCCTCCGGTCTAAGCAATACATTGCTGCAGCAGTCACGATACAGCGATACGCAAGTTGTTTTTTTTATTCATGCTTAGTGTGTCCATGCAAGCACACCTCGTGATACATCCTCTGGACTTTTGAAATGGCCCTCACTGCAATGTATGAAAAACTGAAGAGGAAGGGTTTCATGTGCACTACCCAGTGTTCTTGATCTCCATAAAACCAAGGGCCACTAAGATGATGAGAGGGCTGGAGCACCTCTCCTATGAGGAAAGGTTTAGGGAACTGGGCTTTTTTAGCGTGAAGAAGAGAAGGCTTTGTGGAGACCTCACCGTGGCCTTCCAGTACTTGAAGGGAGCATATGAGCAGGAAGGTGAACGACTGTTTACATGGATCAATAGTGACAGGACAAGGGGGAATGGTTTTAAACTAAGACGGGAGATATAGGTTAGATATTAGGAGGAAGTTTTTTTTTACACAGAGGGTGGTGACGCACTGGAACAGGTTGCCCAAGGAGGTTGTGGATGCCCCAGCCCTGGAGGCATTCAAGGCCAGGCTGGATGTGGTTCTCAGCAGCCTGGTCTGGTGGTTGGTGACCCTGCACACAGCAGGGGGGTTGAAACTAGGTGATCATTGTGGTCCTTTTCAACGCAGGCCATTCTATGATCCTATGACTTAACGCATATATCTGTATGTATTTTTATCTTGGTTAGCAGGGGTTAATAACTGACAGAATCAGTCAAACACACCTATTGAACACTCTTAACACAAGAGGGAAATCTACAGCCATTCTGTATTGTCCTTCTGAAAATTAAGCTATTTTTGTGCATTCTGAAGGGAATAAATGCAATTTCATAAATAAAATATTTAACAGTTTCTCTTGTGGTCATTAATGGCTCGATATTAAAAAAAACCCTGCTTAGACACCAAAGTATTTCCAGTATCATTCACTCCCTGTGCCAAATTTATGGTTTGTGATGGAAGCATACTTTCAAGAAGGTGAACCAGTGATCTTGGCACTTAACAATTATCACCATAATTCATTTTTGTGAGTGAGAAGGCTATAGGATCAAAATAACAAAAAGCAAACACCATTCCCTAAACAAAGAAAACCGATCCAAACCTCTCTTTGTTGATTCATTTTAGGAATCTCTGTATCAGGCTCAGTGAGCGGACAAGGAGCTGAAGTGCGTATGGTGTAGCTAGGCCTTTTTAAACACATAGCTGAATCAAGAGAGAATTTATCCTCTCCTTATGCAACCTCACAGCAAATCTGCCATCCTATCATTCAGTGCATTATCTTCAACATTTCTTCAAAAGAAGCACAGAAAATAAAGAAAGGATTTTCACAGCTGGCAATGTACTAAAATATAATAACTTTCACCAGGAGAATATAATGGAACTGCTGTTTAAGAAAATGCTACAAACTTGTTTAATTTTCTTAGTTTTTTAAAGTGGAAACTTTTCTCCTTCGATGATGGAAGAGAATGGGGGAAAAGAGAATCAGTAAATATTTTCACCCTTCACAGCTGAAATAAATATTATAGTTTTATCTGTTTCAGGTTTCCAATAGAGATTTCAGAGTTGATTAGAGCTTTCAGGAACAATCTAGGCCTTCTAAATTGAAGTATTCCAGGTTTTCTTTAATTGACAACCGCTTATATAGTACATCACAGGCTTAGTGCCTACTCACCAGCCACATTTCTCATAGATCTGTTATTGCACAAAAATGAGTGTGAGAGGCCTTCTGTATTAATAGTTTATGAAGATACTTCAATTACAGCTGACCATAGAGTATTCTCGCTATATTCTTCTCCTGAGCCTCTCTCTGGAGTCTCTTTTTCTGGAGGGCCAAAGCTTCCTGAAGTGATAATACAATCTCCTGAAAAATAATGATTTGGACGTGGTGTGGGGCAGCACCATTTTGAGAAATAGCTGTAAGAAGTGCTTAGGCAACCCAATTTGTACAGAGCACCAACTAATAAAAGTCTAAACTCTGGCTTTCTATTCCCCTTAAGGTGACAGAGTTTTAGATCTAAAGAAACAAAACAAACAAACAAAAAAAACCAACAAAAACACACACAGGAAGAAGGATAGCCTGTATTAGACATCAGTTCAAAGAGGAATAAATGAAAAAAAGTCTGATTTATCCACAGGAAGCTGTCCAGGATCAAGGTTTTCAGTCACCTACTTTATTCCCAGTTCCTTTTCTTCTAATCAGTCTCACTGCACGTTACTCGCAATGAACTAACAAGATGAAGAACTTCCTGGAGCAAGGTGCTGCAACAGTTCAGTTCAGTACAAAGGCACTTTCCTTCCTCTGTCCTTCCTTCTTTCTGCTCTTCAGTCTCTCATGATATTTGTGTTACCTTCTGGATCCCAAGTTCTTACTCACTTGCCAATAATTTCTGCCCACATGCAGCCATAACACAAAACATTAGTGCAATACGAAAGACAAGCTGTCAGATACCCCAAGGTAGAATCAAAAAAGAAGCAGAGAAGGAGTTATTTCTATATCTGTATCGCTGATTGACAAGCCCTGTAGAAGGACATGTGCATGCATTTACCATTTTGAAGAAGTAATCATGCTTGCTGAAAGCATCAGCCTTAGGAAGAATCATAGAATCACAGAATCACAAGGTTGGAAATGACCTGCAAGATCATGTAGTCCAACTGTCCATTGCTGCCACAAGTCTCTAAACCATCTCTTGTAGCTCCTCATCCAGACACATCTTGAACACTGCCAGGGATGGCGACTCCACCACCTCCCTGGGCAGCCATTCCAGTGCCTGACCACTCTCTGAGAGAAATGGTTCCTCCTTATGTCTAATTCAAACCTCCTCTGGTACAACTTGCGGCCATTTCCTTGGGTCCTGTTTGTTGCCTGGCAGAAGAAGCCAAACCCCTTCTCATCACATCCTCCCTTCAGGAAGTTGTAGAGTGCAATGAAGTCTCCCCTGAGCCTCCTCTTCTAAACAATCCCAGCTCCCTTAGCTGCTCCTCATAAGACTTGTGCTCCAGACCCCTTGCCAGTTTTGTTGCCCTTCTCTGGACACTTTTGAAGGCCTCAATGTCTTTCTTATGGTGAGGGGCCCAAAATGAACACCGTACTCAAGGTGCCGGCCTCACCAGTGTTGAGTACGGGGGGTGATTACCTCCCTGCTCCTGATGGCCACACTATTTCCCATGTAGAAACCCATAGCTTGAAGGAATTAGTGCTCTTGTAATGCTCAGCAGCTAACTTGTATTATTTCAGATAAACGTGGCTGAGAACTGATGGATACTTATTCCCCAGACACCAGCATTTTTTTCTCAGAATATCTGCTTTCTTCTTGCATAATGCCATATGAAAGTCATTTCTAGAGTTTGGAGCTTTTTGAAGGTTCACAAGAAAAAGCAGAGGGAGAAGAGCGCTGCCCTGAGCAATGCAGTCTTAACATTGTCCTAGTGGATAATCAGAAGAGCTCTTCAATTACAAGACTGCATAGAAAGAAAGCACTGTAAATCCTACCCACTACCCAGGGCAATAAGAAATGGTAAAAAAAAAACAAAACAAAACCCCAAACAACAACAAACAAACAACGAAACAACACCAACAGTACAGGCTTTCTCGACAAGTCATAGTTAACAGCTTAATGGAAGCTAGTAGACAAGATTTGCACTTCATGAAAGGAGTATGAGGCACACAGCAGTTTGAAATGTGCATAAATTACCTCCTCCTATCTTGCAGGAAGAATTGCATCTTCCTAAAATGCTAAAAGCAAGTAGATTAAATGAACTCCTACCTTGGAGAGCCTGGAGTGTACGAGTCTGTACAACAATACAGAGCTGCAGGACCAGCTGTGGTGCACTTTCCAGAAACGTGGCTAGCAAATGCAGCATACTCACATCTGCATACTCATACACCATTTTCCAATAAAACCGCCATCTGTCATTCTCTCCACTCTGTCGACTCCGGATACCCAAGTATATAGTGTGGAAATACCTGGAAATAAAAGAGAGAAATTATAGAAATGCAGAATGATATTTTACAGGTAACAGTTTTGCTCAAAAATCATTTATATTTAGTTATTTTGCTCAAAAATAACCTGTATTTTCCCAATGCACTTCAATGTTCTGAACATTTATTTAAAAGGAATATCATACTGTAATTTGTAATAGTTGATGTGATAATAGTAAACTGAACTGAGGACAAGATTTGCCTTTATAAAACTGTTTACAAAGCTTAGCATTATATACACATACATTTGTTAAATAGTACCTCTTTCACAGACCCAATTTTCTGAACAGAAATGTAGGGGAGATAAATTGATTATGTGGTCTCCCTTGGAGCTTTTTCAAATAACGGTAGGAAAAAAAACCTGATTCTGTGATGGCCTCTACTCAGAAACTGCAAAGAGCAGAGTCCAGGTCTGTGGAGCTCTGTGTGGACTTGGAAGACCACCAAGGCCAAGCCTTGCTATGGATGAGCTCCTGATTCTTCACAGGTCTAGAGTTTACTATTACTATGTTTCAGATACAGTCGAATGCATACTGATTTTTCTCATGGATTGACTATTGTAGAAAGACAGATCCATCAGCAAGTTCCTATTTTAGGAGGAGTGTAGATCTGGCTATGAGTCGCCTTGGTGATGAGAACTAGCTCACTATGACTGCTTCTGTGCAGCAGCAGGGAGCACCAGCAGGAGCCAGGAGCCCAACAATTGTGGTTGTAATTGACAGATAAGGGAATTAATAAGTTGTTGAATCATAGAATGCATGGACAGGGTTGCCAACCACTGGATCAGGCTGCTCAGGGCCCCATTCAACCTGGCTGTGAATACCTTCAGGCATGGAACATTCATAACTTCTCTGGGCAGTCTGTGCCAATGCCTCACCAGCCTCTGAGTAATGAATTTGCTCCTAACATCTAACCTTAATTTCCCCTCTTTTAGTTTAAAGCTATTCCCCTTGTCCTACCACTATCAGATGGTGTAAAAGTTAGACTCTCTCAGGTTTATAAGCTCCTTTCAAATACTGAAAGGCCACAACGAGGTCTCCACAAAACCTTTTCTTCTCCGAGCTGAAGAAGCTCAACTCCCTCATCGTTTCTTCATAGGAGAGGTGTTCCAGCTCTCTAGTGGGCAAAAAGTATGTGTCAGCTCTGATGGCCTGTTCAAGCAACCGGAGAAATATCTGGCCATCAGCCAACAACATAGATTTCAGTGGATGCCAGAGCACTGATCTGTTTTAGAAAGCAAGGGATATCCTATGACAGCATGCCACCTGGCTGCTGGGATGCTTTCCACGATCCTTGAAGAGCCTGCAGTGGTCTCCTGAGACACGGGCCATAGCACGACGATCACTCTGCGTGGCCACTGGTCTGCCCTTCTGCTCTCTAACCTGTCAGGTGTGGGGCAGGAGCTGAAGGAAAGAGAAAATCTGCTTCATAGGAGGCTTTTTATCTTGTTATTCTGTCAGAAAATCTGGACTCCCACTCTGCTCCTACAAACATAGTTTGTAATAATAATTGAGGCTAGCTGAAAAAACAGTCTAACTTAATGAAAAGTTTTCAAGATTAACATACTGTCCTTTCTCTCTCTGACTCTGCTACATCGTGGACCTGAAGTAATTTCTTATGATATTTTGATCTTTTTAATTATTTTCACAGCCTTTTTTAAAGCAAAACTGTATTTCCTAATAAGGACACATTTAACAAATTTTAACAACTTCTCAATTGGTTAAGATACAGCATTCCAGCATTTCTCCTTCTTCTCATATGCTTTCATCATAAAATCCTTCTCACACCTAGTAGAGCACAGTGAGTTGTGAGGACTATATGTATCAGCTGCCTGTAACCTTTTGTTCTAATCAGTCCTAACTCCAGAAGTACCTGGGTACTCTGACTGACAGAAGAACCCAGGGTTCAGCTGCCCCAGCAGAGAATAAGTGCCCAACAGACCCTCGTACCCAATGTACACATCGGAGCAACAGCTTCACTCAGGAACATACATCAAACAAAACCAGGGAGCACCACAGAGCTCATACCTGAGCCAGCAACACTTCTACTGACAACACAAATCACAGCAATAGAAAAACAAAAAACATTAAAAATCAAATTTAAATTAAAACTGCATCAGTTGGCTCTGAATATATAGGAGTTTCTTTGTTGTTGTTTGTTTGTTTTTACAGTTTTGCTAGCAGAGTCCTTTCAACACCTAAGTTTTTGGTTGCAACTGATTTAGTTATTCCTAGGTCTTTAGAGTCCTGCATCACAACAGGAACAGACAAGATTTGCATGCTGTTCTGCAGTTTGTGTTTTGTGGGTTGTTTTGTTTTGGCCTGATTCATATGTACTTCCAAGGGGCACACCTGAGAAGAGCGCACTTAGTGGGGCAGACAGCCTCTTCAGCATCCTTCTTTTGAGATATCCCTGACCCTTGCTATAAATATCTAAAGTAGCTTTGTCTGCTGAAGGTTGTGCCAAGAAGCTCTAACCCTGCCAACGGAGCCATCTGCAACTTCAGTTTTACAGCATTTGTGCAAAAAATACTCTTCCTATTAGGAAAATGACATGCTGTGCCAGGCAACATCCCTTAGGGTTCTTCACCTGCTCTGCAGAGTGGTTGTGCATGGCAAATACGTTGTGATTAATGAACCCTTATGGAAATATTTCCTCTCCCATTGCACTTTATTGTGAAACATTGGCAGTGAGTTATTGGGGACTGGGGAGTCATTGCTCTTTGTCTACTTTACTTTCTGCAATTTAGACAAGAGGCAGGGGAAGAAGATACTTTCTCTTTTTACACACTAGGGACCAAATTTCAGCCCAGGGTGTTTATTTCTGTCCCATCAATTTTGGCCAAATTGCTGGCTAAAATGAGCATTTACACACATAATTACTGTCACTGATTTATCGGCATAATCAGGTGATTAGACAGCTAAACATCCTCATTTGCATCCACAATTAATTGCACCAGCAATTGATGTTATGTGTGCAAATTAGCAGTTATTAAAATAAAAAGATTGTTTCATAAAATGCTTCATATATCAAAGACACTTTATACCCACGGTTAAATTTTAAAAAAAGAAGAGAAAGTTCTTTTCTTGTTGGGGTTTCCAAATATAGTTTAGAATGTGTCATTATTGCAGTGCTATTATATATATATATGCATTATGTAATTGCATTTTAGACACTGTTACTGAAGTCCTATTGTCAGGATATGCTATAAATGCTATGCAGACACACTCAAAGGCAGTTCCTGTCCTGAAGAGTTGTTTTCATTCTCGTCGTCTGGTATCATTCTAGTGGAGCTCACATTTCTCCTGAGTTCAAGCTGTGGCCAGTACACTCACATTCAAGCAATATATAAGAAGGACTCATGACAGCTCTGGCTTTGAAACTATCTTAGGTTGGTTGTGGAGCACGCTGCTCAAACATGAAGTTTCAGACGCGTTATTATTCAGTGGTGATTATATCTTAAGACCTAAACTTCGGACGTATGCAGTTCCCTACAAATAGACAAAAACTGCCTACACATTTCCCCAAAAATCATTTAATTGACAAGAAAATAAATGACAAGAAATGATTAAGTGAGAGCACTAGAGGGAGAAAGGAAGAATGGGAACTACAGCAACAATACTGCTATCTAGGAAAGCAACTACTTCATCTAGTAAGTCAAGATTGTTATGTTTGCAGAGAAAATCTTAAGTAATAGAGTTTCCTAAAGCTAGAGAAAGTTAGAAGACTAAAAAATTGCTACCAGAAAGTTATATCAGATATTTTAAATTTTTTTTCCTTCCTCTGAAGCCAGAGCACTGCTTAGCTTGTCAACCATATGGGCAAGCTTACTACTCAGCATGAAGAGAAGGGAGTAGGAAGTAATACTATATTCCTAATAATCAGATGACAACATATATATTGCTCTTTGAGAATTGATGCCTTTTTTACTCTCAGGAGGAGAGAGAGAATGCTTCAGCATGTGATTGCTTTAATTTATTTCAGTATATCATAAGACATGGTATATATTCCATTGATTTCAGGGTTATGATTTATATCTGGGACAAGATCTTGAATGACATTCTTTTTCCATTATATTAATGAAGGAAGGCAGTAAAGTCAAAAGCAAACAAAAAAGCAGGTTAATCCCTGTTTTGTCTACAAAAAGTGTTCATGATGTAAGCCAAACAGAAAGAAAAAGTCACCTATATTTGTAGCTGTGGAAAAAATTCTGTACTGTGGATAGATCAATTCATTCTCATGAAAAGCTGGCTCTCCAGAGTTTCAAAAATCAAGAATTCTCATTTTGCTCCAGGTTTCCATCCTAAACTTGATGAGAGGTCAGCTTTGAGTGAGATATCTACATTTAAAATACATCTAGTGACATTTTAATTGCATAATTAAAGCATGCCCAATTGTGCATTTAATTGAGATGTGGTAGTGTAATTATATGATAATACTAAATATTTATAGGAGTGCTTTCCAAGTTTAAAGGGCTTTACAAACAGTAGTTGATTAACTAGGATACGTGTAAATAGTCTGACAGGATTCACAGCCCAGGAATTGGCAGCTAACCAACCTAAAACCTTCCTGGGAGAGCAAGGTATAGCATTCACACAAACTCAAAACCAGGTGTGGTTCTCTAAACCAATAATGGGAATGAATTGTCCCTATCTGGTTTGCAAACAAATTTTCCCTTCTTTCTCCCTTGTTTTAAGGAATGTGTTTGTCTTGAATACTCCCATCCAGATAATACTCCCTCAGCTCTTGCTCCAGTACAAGGCAGACAAAGAAACCTCCCAAATACCTTGCGAACAGGAGTCAATTCCTCAGATCTCAGTTATTCTAGAAGAGAGAACTGAGAAGGACATGAAAACCAAATCCTGATTGCTTGTGGACCTGTTCCCTTGAGTGCAGAACTGATCTCACTGCCCATGGTTCGGCTTCATCAAGGTCTTTCAGTCTGCTGAGCTACTCTGGGATTCGATCCCAAATGTTGCCATTTG